TTGAAAATATGATTTTCTAAATAGGGAATACGATTCCCAGTTGAAGGGAGAGATAAAATTTTTGAAATTCGCCCTTTATTCCGCAATCTTTGGGCGTCCATAGGATGGATCTCTCATCCCTTCATTATCATATGTTATATACTATGTTGCATTTTACTTGTGCTCTATGATACATAAAATCATATAGTACATATGTTAGTATGCTGTTTATTACTTATTTGCTTAGATTCTTGCTGCAATACTTCCTTGTATGGATGCTATTATTTCTTTAATTGCTTCAATTCAGTGTATTGTGCTTAGGTTAATCATGTGTAGTTGTTGCTTTGCTTATTTGTTTGGATTGTTGCCATTTGAAAATTCAAGATTTTCATGTCTTTGCTTTGCTGAATGGAATTGATTATATTGTGTATATAATGTTAATATGTATGATTAAAAATGACATTTGTGTAGTCAGCCATGCACAACCCTTGCACAATGATGCACGGCATAGGGCACCATCTGCAGTCAGGTGTGCATGTCCCTTGCACCATGACACAAGACATGGACACTGTGTGCAGTCAGGTGTGCACAACATGGGGCACCATGTGCACAAAGTATCTAGATATGCAAATTCCATTATTGGTAGCATGTCAACATGGATCACATCCAATAAATTATAGTTTTTTTATAAAAACTTACCACCTAATCTGCTCCTTGGTGCTTGCCTAAGTACTTAAATGAAGCTTAGATGACAAGGCAGTACCCTATTGCCTAATATCACTTTGCAGCCTTGATACCATCAAGATTCTAATGATTAACTAACCCTCTTAAGTCTTCCAAAATTATTGTGTTAACATTTCCAGTGTAAAATTGGTGAAAAAGAAGCAAATTGTTCAAGTTGCATTTCATAACGAACTTGCATGATCAAGAAAGGGGGTTTATGAAAGGTTCAAAATTTCGTATCGGGCGTATCGTATCACATCTTTTGGGTCCCGATACGCTTGTTTCCAGGTGTTTCGGGACCCTACTCTTTTTCAATAAAAAAACATGTTTTTAACTCCCAAAAACTAAATTTTGAAAAAAAAATAGCTAAAAAAACGTGCTTCCATGTGTTTCTAAGTTCCGATACGTCTCTGCCAATACACAGAGGCATATCGAAATTTTAAACCTTAGGTTTATCATGCCTATGAAGGAAAAAAAAGGAAAAAAGAAAGGGGTTATCAAATGCATCCTCATACATCGAGGTCAGTCTTATAAATAATTCATATTTTAAGGATGGATGGAGAATAATGCAGATACCTACCTCAACTCAGTCAATATGAGGTTGGCTTGCAAATGCCTACCTCAAAAACCAAAATGCAGAAGAAGGTATAAGAAACAAAATCTAGCTTAGACTTGGTATAGGAAAAATGCAGCATAAGACAAACCAAATGACTTCCCAGGTCCAATAGATCTAAATATGCCATGCAGTTCATCAACTCACACAAATGATACAATTTCTAAGCTACTTTTGGTATAGGAGTTAGAACCTTTCTTGAGTCCTTATATTCTTTTGGATTCATTTATGTAATTTCACTATTCCTCTAAGCATCAAACTTTTTTTTGTTTGAGTCAAAATCAGCCCAATCCTTCATGATTACATTTTTTTATTGGTAACACTTCATGATTACATTACCCAAAATTTTAGGAATACCAATGAATTGAGTTTAATAAAGATCAAATATAATGACCATCAACATTTATGTAGAACTGCATGAAAATGCCAACATCTAAAATTGATGGACAAAATACCATTCAGAAATAAGGTCACAATACCAAATAATGAGAAGTATATCCGTACCTTGATGATGCAGATTTTTTCAGGCCAGCAATCTGCAATGTGTCACTACCAGAGATTGCAAGAGGTTTAGCATCAACAATTTCTTCATCACTCTGAACTACTGTACTGAGTGCCATTGGGTTACGATCGTGTTTTGGGATCTGTTGGCTCCTTTTGAGTGCTAATCTAGCCTTCTCCCTGGATCCCCACCCATTTGCCATGACACACATATTCCTCCACTTGTCCTATGCAATATCAAACAAGAGATATTAACCAATGCTATAAAATCCAAATAAAGGTGGGTGGAACATATACACTAAATGCATTAACTCATTTCAATATGAAACTTATGTTTTTGCTATGTTGTACTATCAAAATGTCTAGAAACTCCACATAACCTAATCATGCACTATGTTATCAAATTGGAAATCCATTGAGTGCCCTTTATGGGTGCACTAGCTTCACTGTTTCGGGTGAAAATGATAAATACCTTCAGATCCACATTTGAACGCAAAGCCAATACGCCACTGAATTCTGGGTCTTTCAGTATTGTGCGCCATTTGCCTGCTCCATGTTTCTTAATCCCAGCCTTAAGAGCAGCTTCTTCTTCTGAGGTCCACTTCTGCTTTGGAGCACCCATCAAGAGGAGCCCCAAAGTCTTCCAAGAAGAATTTAAGGAGCTAAACCTAGATGTGTTGTAAGACACAAACAAGAAATAATAAGAAAGTGGCAGAATACCAACATATAGTTTATCCCAAAACCTCCACAAAGTAAATGATTCTATGAAATCAACAAACATGAATCGAGCATGATCAAGATCAATTTTAAACTTCTAACCAGAAAATCTAGTAAAAGAGAAAAGGCATAAAAATAACACGACGATAACGACAATGTCATTAAAGCAGATTTTAAGCGCATATATTTTTATAGTAAAAAATTATTAAAAAGAAAAGATAGAAAAGGATTACAAAGCCAGGTGGATAAGATGTCACCCCCAAACAAAAAAGATCACTCCCTATACCCATACTCCTAACAAAACATGATTCTACTAAAAGCATCCCCAATTAACTGATTGGCAAAAACCAAAATGGAATTCTGTACCGAGAACACAAAACAAAGAACCAGGACCTTCAATTAAGATGCAAATACAACCTCCTCTCTTCTCAGCATCAATCACTTCAAAGGCAAACACATCCCTCATACAATTAATACTTGACGTTCTCAAAATGAGAGAGAAAGAGGGAGGGCGGGGGAAGGAGGGAGATATAGAATGCGTCGAAGGGGGGAGGTATGAAAAACAAGTTAGAGATGAAGATGGACTGATGGAATGCGAAAACTCGAAAGAAGATTTCGGAAATCTGCCGGTATAGAAACCTTCAAACAATCAAAATAAAACAATATAAAATCTTCTGTAACAGAATGTTAATCGCCAAAAAAAAAATAATAACAAATAGCCAAACCAATGAAAATACAAATTAAATAAGGGATAAAATACCAGAAAGCTATATCCAGAAATAATCACCTGACTCAAGAGGATGCGGAGCTCCTCTGCTATATTCCTTTTTATCTTGAATAAATCTTTCTGAGAGAGGGACGTCCAGTAAAAGGTTCCACGATGTAATAATAACGACAACTTAGATTGGGAATTCTCTCTCTTCCCATTTCTCTCCTTCCACCCATTGTTTCAGCGGATTAAGATAAAAAGAAAATAAAAGAGTGAGAGACATAATTTTACCAGGCATCCATCGTCTATCATCCAACAGCAATGAAGTACTCACATGAACTGTCACGTGCCCAAGCTAAAATATAATTTTTTTGAAGGATAGTGTTCCGCCAACTGTCAAGTTAAATTATGGCTGCTCTCTCTCCTCCCGTTGGTCCACCGGCTTGCCTTTGAAGTTTGAACCTTGGCCTGTGAAGATTTCCTGTCTTCTGCTGGTATTACCTTTCGTTTTCTTATTCCATGCAAACATCTTAAACATCTTTCCAAACCTTACCGTCCTCTTGTTCTCTTCAACCACCATGTAAGCTTACCGTGTTAACCTGGTTTTCCGCATATTCTCTGGTCCCCTTTTTTTCTCCATTTCGTCTTTCTTGCTTTCTTTTTCTGGTGGTCTGGTTCCTTGTCTCGACATGCATGGAGCAAGACAACGACGGAATCATGGAGTAATATTGGATAAACTCATAGACACGCCCTCCATCGTATGTATGTCTTTTCCCGAATGCCTGTCAACCATAATAGTCTCAAGAATATGCTCAGACAAACCTGGAATCGTTCAGGCATGCATATCAGTGACAAAATAGATGATCGTTTTCTTATCTTGACAAGGAGATGGAGCTACGACGGTTTCATGAAGCCATGAAGGAAATCCGGCGGCCCGTTAAGATGGGGGGAGTTTTGGGTCCAACTTCATCAATGGTACAGGCACACTTTTATGAAAAATTAAATACATAGCGGTGCAACCTGCGCGGGACCAGCCCGAAATTTTACACGGGCGTTTGGGTTAATAGCATATAAGGGCAATTTTTGTAAAAAATTCAAAAACAGGTTAACTTTTTAAAAATAAATCTAAATGCTGTAATTACATGAACCAACGACAATAATGAAAAATAAGGACTTCAAGAACCTGACATTTTCAATTTGTTTGATAAATCTAAATGTTGTAATTATATGAACCAATGACAATAATGAAAAAGAAGGACTTCAATAGTAAACATTACATTTATAGATTCCCTAGTTGCTCTTGTCAAGTTCCTCTCCTCCGATTTTTCTCCTATTCGAATTATCACTTCTCCCTTGCTTTCCTCTTTGAATAATGATTCCTCTAGTTGCTCTGTTGAAGTTGTGCGTACTCAAAGGGAATCACAACATCCATTTATATACATTTCCAAATGTAACTGAACTCCCCAATCGTGACCGAAGAACCTTCGAGGTTATGGGAATAAAAACCTTCTTTCGTTGGAGTTAATGGGAGGTGAATTTGTGCAAAAGCATAAATGGATTGAGCAAAGTGGGAGATGAATTCCTAAAAAATGCAAAAGTGGATTAGATTTAGGGCAAAGTGGAAGATGAATTTGTAGAAATCGATTAAATTCTAAGTTTTCTTTCTCAAATGAAACAGATTAGTGGGAGACTTTGTGGGAGATAGGGTCTTCTTTTTCAGTTCTGAGAGAGAAACTGAATGGGTGAGGGTTTGAGGGAGAAAGAGCTATAGCGATATTCGGAAGTAGTGGGAGACAAGGTCTTCTTTCTGGGTTTTGAGAGAGAAACCGATTGGGTGAGGGCCTAAGGGAAAAAGATCTACAGTGATATTCGGAAGTAGTGGGAGACAAGGTCTTCATTCTCGGTTCTGAGAGAGAAACTGATTGAGTGAGGGTCTGGAGAAACAACTACACTAATATTCAAAAATTTATAAATTTTCCCTTAAATTGCTAACTACGTGGTTAGACAAATATGGGTAATACAGGTCCAATTAAAATTCTAGAAAATGGGGCTATTCGCTCTTTTATTAGTATATATATTAAAGGGAAAGGGGTGGTCTTCCCTTTCACCAAATGGTAGTATTTTCCTTTTATATATAAAAGATTCTTCATTGAAACATAAGGTTTAACCATTCTGGTCACTGATTTTTGGGTTAATGGTTCGACTGCTTGGTTCAAACGGATAGTCCATTCTGACAACAAAACTTTAAAAAATAAAAAGACGACAAAAAACCATTGAACAAGTCAACGGGTCGACTGTTCGACCGCTTGGATCAATGGGTCGCTGATCGATTCAATAGTTTTGGCCAGGGACCGGGGTTGGGATAAAACAGAACCGGTTACCTAGACAGTTCTCAATTAAAAAAATAAAAAATGCCAAAAAACTTTGAATGGGTCAATGAGTCGTTGACCAATTCAACCCATTTTGGCCAGGGACCGGAATTGGGGTAAAATGGAACCGGTTGCCAGGACGGTTCCTATGCTGAAATGTTTGTCTGTCCAGGTCAACAGCGGTTCGAAAACCATGGTTTTTATGTTTTTGGATTTTCACTATTCAAATGTTTCTTTTATTGTGGGCTTTATTCGAGCATGTGTGGTATGATCCTTTTTTTTCATTTTCTGTTTTTTTTTTTTTTGTGTTTGGTCTTCTTCTTCAAGATCCTCCAAAATAGTCCAGGGTTTACCACCATTTTATTTCTTCCTTTTTGTTTTTCATTGGGTTTTCTTGTGCAATGTTTTTTTTTATTTTCTTACAAGATGATCTGCTTTGCCTCTTTCTTTGGTTGCATGTGTGTTTAGCTCCATGTCAAAGCTGAACTTTGGACTCGGTTTTTCAATTTTTTTCCTTGGTTTTTTCAGTTTGGTGGATTTACTACCAAATTTTTTCTATGTTTAAGGTCACTTTGGATTTATCTTTCAAGGTTTTGGAATCCCTTGCAATGTCCACCCTTCCCATGACTATGACTACAAAGTTATTTCGTCTAATTATTGACATCTAAAAAAATGACTTAGAAACGGAACCGTTCTACACACTTGTTTCTAGGTCAATGGTTCAACCGTTTAGTTTGAACGGATGGACCGTTCTGACAACAAAAATAAATAAAAAAATGGCCAAAACCATTGAATGGGTCGACGATTCGACAACCTAGGCCAATAGGTAATTGATTGATTCAACGATTTTTGGCTAGGGACCGGGTTTGGGGTAAAATGGAACCAGTTGCCTGGACGGTTCCCAAGCTGAACAGTCCTACCATTCGGATCAACTAGGAGTTCTTGATGTGAAACAATGGACAACTATGAAGTAGAACTCAGAACTGTCACTATATGATCATGTTCTTTTGTATGAGATGCTTTGCTAAAGCAATATTTAAAAAAATGAACACATGATGATCTCTTCTAAGTCTTTATATGAGTTTTAAGACTTGAGTACTTATAATTGCAAGTTTCTTATTAAGAAACCATTGTCTTAATGTAGCAAATAGCAATATGACAATTCCATTTTAGCACCTACGAAGCAGGGGCCCGTCTGCTAGTATAATATTGATAAGAATGAAGGAGATTGTTACACAACACTTTCCTCTTCTCTTTTCATGTTCTTCTGTTTGAAGTAAAAAAAAAAAAAAAAAAACAAATAAATACTTTTTCATCCATTAAATATGTTATCATGGAGGAGGGAGGACAAGTTCAATTTAGGGTGAGACCATGATTCCTTGTGATGAGGAACTATAGACATGTATAGCACCATCACCTACTGAGGTTACAACCTACCTTAAGTTCCATTGTCCTTCAAATAACAATTGTTGATGCTTTTTTCCCTAAAGCTCAGTTTGGAAGGAGTACAATTACAAATATGCAGAGTGCAAAACCTATTTTGTATTATTTTATGTGTTTGCATTCTACATAATTTGTATTTGTACTCCTTCCAAACTAAGCTTAAGTTCTATTTGTTTGAAGTGTAAATTCAAATTTTACATGATGGAAAATGTGAATCGGTTTAATGATCAATGGAAATTGGGACTGGTTGATTTTGCAAATTTACACCAACCATGTTTGGTTGTCCAAGGTATAAATTAGATGGAATTATTTGTCATAAATGGAAGCTGGTTTTGGGAATGCAATGCTTGAAAGGGAGAATGAAAAGAATGTCTAAATCTCTGGGGTGACGGAGAAGCGGAGTGATGTTTGAGATGGAGCAATGTCCAAGCCACATTGGGCATTACATTCCAAACATTATAAGATTGATAAAATATCACTAGATCTATACGCTGAACCTCTGTTTAGATGATTTGTCAACAGATTTGAGATGGATTGGCAACATGCACTCAGATCTGGTGACAAACGTATAGATTTAGCTTCATTTGGTTGGAATAGTGTTTACACCTTGTTCGTCACGGGACAGTGACAATAATGCGCAATGTCTTCTATATGAGCAAACCTTTGAACCTGCAAGAAAGAGTAGAGAAAGAAAGAGAAATATCTCGTACCAGATGTTCGATGAAGAAGTAGTGAACCGGTGAGAGAGAAAAAGGCAGTTGAAATGGAGTAGATGGAGAACACAGGAGAGAGACATGAGGGTGAGAGGAGTTTTACTTCGATGATAGCGGCTGATAAGTTTTACATCGATAATTTTGATGTATATTTTACACCGATTATTAGTGTAAAAAGAATTCAAAGTGGAGTTTTACACCGATTTGCAAGGTAAAATTACACTCTTTCCAAACACATGTAAAATTGAATCTGATGTAACTGTTTTTGGTCACGTACCATTTTTTGTGATGTATAAATTTTTTTGGCTAAGTACCTCGTTATTTGACCCGGTGGTGACATGTCTTGGCGATGAACTACTTGGAGGCGAACTCCCTGGTGGAAAACTACCTGGTGGAGAGCTCCCTAGTGGCGAACTGCTTGGTGG